AAGAAAATAATGAGTAATGAATGAGATGGTGTGTCCAGGCCTTTCCATTTCTGGACATATTGAAAACATAATAAGTTTGCTTCGTATTATAGATTATTTTGTTTTTGTTTTATTATTATTATTATTTTTTAAATAAATTGTACGTGTTATTATCAGTGTTGGGGAGTAACAGATTATATGTACCAGAGTTATGTAATCAGAGTACAAATTATGAGTAACTGTATTCAGTTACAGTTACTGTTTAAGTGAGTGGTAATTAGATTACAGTTACTTTGTTAAAATAAATGGATTACACAGAGGGATTTTCTTCTCTTTCTTCCCTTTCTTTTTTTTTTTTTTTTTTTTTTCGTAATTCCACTCATTGTCGGACACTAAACCAGGTCTAAACCAGGTCTAAAACCAGGTCTAAACCAGGTCTAAACCAGGACTAAACAGGACTAAAACAGGACTAAAACCAAGTCTAAACTATGTGTCAAACAGGATTTAACAGAACTAAATCATGCCGTGTGGACCATGTCTCCTCGTCTTCTATCAATAATATTTTTTAATTTGGTTCAGTAAAGTCTGGGCTTTTTATTTACTTTTAGCAGACAAAACGTCTTATGTTAGGATTTCCTCGCCTTTGCTTCTCTGCAGCAAATCAAGTAATCCAAAGTATTCAGATTACATTACTCACCTTAAGTAACCTTAAGTAAAGGATTTTGTTACAAACTACATTTTGGTGTATGTAATCTGTAATCTGTATTTGAATACATTTTAAAAGTCACCTTCCCAACACTGATTATTATACAGGTAGATAATGAGTGTGTGTATAATGATTGTTTAGAAGTAAAAGTGTGTGTGTTGTGACAGTGTTTTGGTGCAGTCAGGTCAAAGTTCTCCTCTGTCCTCTTACTGTATTATCTGGATGTTTGCTTCGTATCTGATCGGGCCTGGCGCGGGTCAGCGGCGGAGCATACACTGCATTGATAGGCATAGAGCAAACAAGGAGAGGTCAGAGGTCACAGAGTGAACCAGCAGAGGTGAAAGGTCAGACGTGGCCCAATTTGGACTTTTATGGCTTCTGATAATGGTGTTGGGAGTGAGGAGATGTGTCCATGAGGAAGAATGCATTAAAACCTCACTTATGTTTACTGTTCCATCAGCTGGACGGGTTTCTGTGTTTACTCACTTAAAAAGACGGAGGAAAAAAATGGAAACAGTTTGCAGTTGTCCAAAGTTCCTTCTGTTCCTCATTATTCACCACAATGAGTTTGCAAGAGCTTTTCACAACACTGAAAGAACAAAGCAGAGTTTTGGTGTTAAGATAATACTGTTTTTATTGTTACTACTACTACAACAAATGCAACACCAGCTACTATCTTTACTTAAAAAATATAATACAACAACAACTAGCATGCTAACAACACACTTCCTGGTTCACATACTCTAAAATGCCACATAATTAGATGGAAATAGCACACAGTGAGCTCATTTCTGCATGATGTTCAGCAAAAAAACAATTTACAGCGGTCCAATGTGTTTCTGGATGAGGTGGAACTCAGCCTTGTCAAAGAGTTTAAATACCTGGACTGACGTTGGACCCGACATTGACATTTAAGAAACACATTAAGAGTCTTACAAAAACTGTTAATTTTAGACAAGCAAGATCTTTTATGACTCTATATGCGGCACGAATGTTTTTACACTCCATGATTCTGTCTCACATAAGTTCTGCATAACCACATGGTCACTCACTGCTGGCACAAAACTCAAACCCGTCAAATCACTTTTTAAAAAAGTCATAAAAATATTGGACAAGAAACCATTCTCATTTCACCACTGCACTATTTTAGATAAGTACAATCTGCTTAATTTTAATAATTTTATTGGTTTTAAATATGGATGTTTTATCTATAAAGTTTTGCATGGACTTGCCCCCTCCTCCTTTACAGGATTTTATGAAAGTAAAGACCTTCAGTGGGAACTAAGGCCACAGTCCGGGGGAACTGTGAGCTCCACACAGACGCTCCACATTCAGACAAAGTGTGTCTCAGTCAGAGGCACAACATTTTGGAACAGTCTGTCACTATCAAAAAGAGAAACTCCAACACTGGACACGTTCAAGTCCTACTTGAAACAGTGGCTAAAGAAAAAAACAGACTTGTGGATAATTTTAGTGTGTGTTTGTTACTTGTTTTTGTTTTGTTTAAGTTTGTGGTGTTTCCTGCCGAGGGATGACAGATGGAAATGAGCATTCTTGCTATAATCTGTCATATTTACACCACAGTGTTGTAGATGTTCATTAATATGCACTGTCCCTATTAAATAAATAAATAAATATATATCTATTTTTTTATAGTCATTATAGTATTAAGTATTTGTATCAATAATCATGACTATATTTTTGTATTTGAGTAAACACAAGGTTAAAGATGTTGTACCTGATTTGTTTTGTTTTGTATTTTGTTTTCCATGTATCTGAGCAAAATATCTCTTGTCCCAGTAAAAATATTGTATAAGCAAATCTTGAGTTCAAAATAAGTCAAATGTGTACTCTTCAAGTCATAATAAAGCGTTTTAATTGTCCGAGTATCAGGAAGTGCACAATTAGCATGCTAGCTTGTGTTAGCATCACCTTGACACCAAACCACTCCACTCTGACCTCTGAGAGTTGTGAAAAGTGCTTATAAACTCATCATGGTGAATAATGCGGATGCTCTGAAAGCATAAGGCAGAGACGCCCGATATGTGGATCACTAAAGTAGTGTGGGGAGATCAAAGTGTCGTACAGTACTCAAGACGGTCTTGGTCTCGAGACCGGCAGAGAGAAAGCTTCTTTATGGTCTTGGTCTCATCTTGTACCCTTGTGTACCAGCGTGTATCACAGGGCAGGTTAATCCTCCCTTAAAACATCCTAGATTTACATTACAGTGTTGGCACAGAGCAGACCTACAGCGCAGACCAGACCTACTGCAACACGTGGTTGAACTTTGCCTAATAAAAGTGCACAAAAGCATTGGTATTTGTCACGACATGCGTTTGCTAAATGTGCAGAGGCTAAATCCCACTGCAAAACCAGTACGAGAATGTAACTCCAGTTAGAAACTTGAAAAAAAAAGGTTTAAAAATCCTACCCACTTTCTTCTCTTTCTTCACAGTTTTGTGTAAAGGGCCAGTGGAAGTTCTCTTAAAGAAGGGCTTCTCAAATTGTGGGTGAGGGTCCAGAAAACTGGCGCAGAACAGTTTGCTTGGCTTTGTAGTAGGCTTTGTAGTCATTTTAATTGGGTCATTTTATAAGTTGCTCACATGCTGACAATGTGGGGGCCCCTGGCATAAGGTAAATGAGAAACTTTGTCTTAAGACAAATCATACTTTTTCAAACCTTCATAAACTTCTCCAGTCTCGTTTTTGTTGTGTTAAAATCAGTTATTGGATGTATTTGGCGTTGTGTGTGCGCGGGGCATGTGGTGTTTTTGCATCATTCATCTGGTCCCTCCCACCTGGATGAATGGACATGTTGTTACCATGGTGACCGTCCCTCTGGTGTCACCCGTGTCCAGAGCCGATTCCAACAGAGACGCACATGGACCACGTCTCATTCCTCTAAAAAAATATTTCTTCAAATCTCTGTACTCTTTGATTATTTTAGAGGTGCACAAGAGACACTCGAACATTCAAAAAATAAGAACTATTTTCACATTTGATTTTCAGTTTGCAGTTCAGATTTTAAGCCTGTCTATGAGATTTAATATTTGAGAGAACAGAGAAGAGAGATGAGCTGCTAAACTAAGACAAGAACCTCAAGCATTTCAGAACATGTTTATAGAAGTCTAAAGGACAGGGTTTGAAGCTTTTACACAGAATAAGACACCAAGGAGACACAGGGAGGGCATCTGACACACAGGGACATGTGTGTCAGCATATTTGTAGACCTCTACAATACTGTGTTATCAGGTTTTACACAGAATAAGGTGATAAAATACCTAAAACATGGACAACAGACAAAGTTCTCCAGCTAAGGTAGACTTAACCAAGACCAGCTCAAGATCTGGAGATGGTTTTAGGACTTAACCCCGAGACAGTGAAGAATCAAATGTCAAATGCAGATGAAGAACTTCCTTATGGAAAGTTACTGATATAGACGATGATGAAACAGAAAACACACACCAAAGTTCTTGTAAAGGTGCAAATGCAAGGAACAGCAAAATAAAAGTGAAAAATGCACACTCAGATGGTTGATGTCCAAAAGCTTTTTAATTTTTTATTTATTTTTTTTTACGTCAGAAAGCCTTTGTCAATTTTTTTTTTTTTTTTTTTTTTTTTTAGTAAAAAAAAAAAAAAAAAAAAAAAGCTTTTGGACATCGGCTATCTGAGTGTGCTATGCATTTTTTTATTATTTTTTTTAGTTCAACTTATTTCAAAATCTTATGCTCCATTTTGAGGACATTTTAAAAACAATAGTTTAAGACACATTCCCAGTTTTTTTTTTTCTTTTTTCTTTTTCTTTTTCTTTCTTCTTTCTTTTCTTTTTTTTTTTCTAATATTATTAACAGATTTGGGATACTTTTTTTTTTTTGTGTTTGTTGCACTGAAACAGATTTGGTTTTTGAAAACACTGCTAGTAATTCTTAGCCTACAACATTATTTTTTCCCAAACGCACTTATTGTTCTTTGCAAATGAACTCTTCAGTTGTTAATTGCTACGGCAACAGTCCTAATTTCCCATCATTCTGAAATCCATGGATAGAAAATCCTGCCTGTGCACAAATCTACAACAAGAGGATTCTGGGAGTTTTAGATTCTGAAGACATGTTTTTGAGGAATGAGAATAGTCTGTATGTCCGGCTGCATGGAGGCTCTGTCTAGTGCCCCCTGCTGTTTCCCTGTGGTACTGCTGCCTATGTTTGCCTGTTCTGACTCTGGCTCTTCTCTCTGGATCTTTATTCGTTTCACTGGTCTGACCCTCTTCCCTCTCTGTGCTCTTCTCTTGTCTAACCTCCTCTCCCTCTCCTCTCCAGCCGCCCCCCAGTTCGTGGTTCGTCCCCGGGACCAGATCGTGGCTCAGGGACGCACCGCCACCTTCCCCTGCGAGACCAAAGGGAACCCCCAACCCGCCGTGTTCTGGCAGAAGGAGGGCAGCCAGGTAAGACACGCTCACTCACTGCATCTTTCTGTACAAGGACACGCACATAATGACATTTCACCTCATTTTATTATTGAAATGGCTACACAACATTTTGAATCCTTATGTGTATGATAATTAAGGATTTAACAATAACTGAAAGATTGTGATATTGTATCGTCAAAAGTCTCACAGTAAAATCGGAGGCCATCACAATATATGGAATTACAAGTCTCTGTTTAAATGAGTAGATAAGGTGATTTTAATGTCTTTCTTTGTGATTTATATTGTCTTTTGTATTCTGGAAAGCACTTTGAATTACTTTGTGCATGAACTGTGCTCTACAAATAAACTTGCCAAAGGGAACTACATAGACCATGATCCTTTGGTGTTGTTATGCAGACTACATGAAGAAGGATTTTCAAGGCTTTTCCAAGGATAAAAAAGTAGCACATTCACAGTTTTGTTTTTGCCTCCACAAAATATCTCAATAAATATCGAACCGTGAGATGCATATCGTGAAAATATTGTATCAAGGGATTTTGATATTGTTACATCCCTAATGATGAGTCTGTTTCTTCTTTTAATTTTTATTTAATTTTTTCAATAAACGATTATTAAAAGTTAGGAGTGGGTGGAAATAGAGGAACGGGACATTTTCTTACACGGTTCCCACGGTCATGGAAATCCTGGAAAAGTCATAGAAATTGAAAATGTCATATTCCATTCTTGGAAAAGTCACGGAAATTTGTAAATTCAATGAAAGTTTTGGAAAAGTCATGGAATTTTAGTATCTCTTTCACACAACTCCAGTGTTCTGTTGTGTTCTCATTAAACTATTCTGATTATTTGTGAACGTCTGCACCTTTTGTTTAAAAGAGACGACAATAAATGCACTGACATGATTTTAAATGTTCAAAACTATAATCCCAAACCATAAGGTGAGTGGAAAGAGTTCACATTTCAGATTTAGACCTAAAAGTCTGTCAGTTCTACACATGTAGGTGCTGTAAAGTCATGGAAGCTTCAACTTTAGCTCATGAAAATTTTTGAAATTTTGTCAGTGAAAAACAGTGGCATTCAGTTCACAAATGCAACAGAACAGCATTACTCACACATGAAATAAATCCAAATACAAGTCACGGAAGTCACGTAAACGGGAAACGGTCGTTATCCGTTTTTTCCATTTTTCATTTAAACACAAAATCGAAAACTGAAAAAACAAATCATTATCTGTTTTTTCATTTTGGTTTTGGAGACAAATAATGAAGAAAACGGTTGTTTTTTCGTTTTCTTATTTTTGGTTTTATATTGAAAAACAAATGAACGAATGATACACAGATTCTCATGGACTCAATCTAGTTTCTCGTCTCGTTTTGTGGAAATTGTGTCTCGCCCCATCTCTAGTGTTATTAGTTAATACCCCCCACACACACACAAACACAGACACACACAAACACACAGAAGTAAAAAAAAAAAAAAAAAAACTCTTGAAACACTATTCATGGAGATGTTCCTGCTTTACCTGAAACATTCCATTAAAGTCCATGAAGAAAACAAATGAGAATTTTCCCTCCAAAACCAGAATTCCGTCTCCACCTTTGAGCTCCATTCAAAGCCTTTTCCTCTGCACACGGCCCATTCATCTCGTTGTGCACCTGCCCCCGCGCCTGCACCCGCCCCGCCCGGACCTGCCTGGACCTGTCTGAACCTGAACCCCCCATCAGATACGCCTCGACCCGGATCACCCCGCGCGTGTCGCCCGCGGACGCGCTAAACACTGGATCCAACAGCTGTCGCAACACTTAGCCTAGCGCGTGACCTTTAGCATGCTAGCGGTGAGTCAGGAGGAATGCGCTGTTTAGATGGGGAGATGAGAGCCGCTAAATGCCACTTATTGTTACTGCACATGAAAAGGTTTCGGAGCAGGACGAGGCACGTTTTATTTTGCCGTAAACAGGCGGTGCGACGTCAGAGCGCTATTAAAGGTGAGCTAATGTTCCGAGTGCATCTTTGAGCGAGCGAGGTCAAGGACGGACTCACAGCAAAACTAGTGGATGTGAGCGGAACTGCACTTTACTTGATCGTGTGATTTGCAAAGATTAAAATATAAATGAGAGCAGAAAGAAGGAAGAGAAATCTCAAATAAAAAACTACACTTTTCTCCCAAATGAGAAAGACAAGAAGTGTAATAATCTCTACTGGACATACATTGATAGTTTCTGTGTTATGTAAGAAAAAACATATATATCAACATTTTATAATAACACATGTAATAACTGCACCTCAATTCATGATAATAAAGTATAAACAGTGTTGGGAAACAACCACATCCTGAAAATTCTTGTTTGTTCTTTTCAAATTGTCTGTTGAGCCCAAGTCTCCATGAACAGACTTTTGTTTACTGTAGAGAAGCAAAGACGAAGATCTGAACATAAAATGTTTTATCTGTTAAAAGAAAATAAAAAGCCCAGTCTTTACTTAACTAGATTAAAAATATTATTGATAGAGAAATAATTTTTGTATGAGAAATGAGAGATTTATATGAGTATGTCCACTCTACTGTCAGGTCTCATACTGTTTAGACCTGGTTTAGTCCTGGTTTAGCTCAAAATGTGAAAACAGGAACATACTGCCATGTAATCCATTTATTTTAACAAAGTAACTGTAATCCAATTACCACTCACTGAAACAGTAACTGTAACTGAATACAGTTACACATAATTTGTACTCTGATTACATAACACCGGTACATGTAATCTGTTACTCCCCAACACTGAGTATAAACAATAATAATTGATCATAATAATTGAAACCGCTTTGTTCATTATACAAACTGACCTTTAACGTCCTTGACACTGGCACCACTGTGAAATTTGAAAGAAACATCAACTTTATAACTTTGAAAATTTTGCCAATTTTAATAATCTTAAATTCTTTTTGAAGTGTCTTAACTGCGATACACCACTGTATTCAGAATTTGCCAGGACCATAAAATATTCACACAGAGTGAACACAAGAGGAGCTTCTAGTGGTGATTGTGTTGTTCCTCTGTACAGGACGACTCTGGGTCAGTCCTCGTTCTCTTCTAAAGGGGCCAGACTGTGGAAGTGTTTACCAGCTCATTTAAAATTGGAAACCAATAACAACAAATTTAAAAGGAAATTAAAATTATTGTATGTTTCCAATCAAAAATGCATCCACTGAAAATGTAGTGTATATATTTTATCTGTATGTAACTCATGTGTGTTGTATTGTCTGTTTTTATGCATGTAGTTTATATTTTTATATGAACAGGTGTTGAAAACTTGCACTTGTGCTAAAACAGCTTGTCTAATGCGATTGTGATGTCCTTAATAAACATGAATAAAATAAAAAAAATAAAATAAAATAATGAACAAACAGTTAAGGTTCAGAATCCTCTGCATTTGACCCAGACTTCAGTGCTGCTGGAGACACCTGTGAGGATCCAGGGACCATCTCCAGACCCTGAGCTAGTCTTGGTCAGGATCTTAACCCTAGACACAGGGAGAACATGCACAATCTGCAGAGAAAGGTCCAGGACCTTGTTGCTGTGAGGTGTAATGTGTGGGTGCTAACCACTGTGATACTTCATTTAGAGGTTATAATATAAATATAATCAAAGTAATTGCCACACAGTGTGTTCTCTTCTACCAAAAAAAAAGTGTTGTTCACCCCATGAGCACATTGTTCTAACATCATAAGCTTCATTTGAGCGGCGCTGAACACTATGGGATACGTCACACTCACTTAGTCCACTTCTTTATTCAGTCTATGATCCCAATCAAATAAATGCATAAATAAAATCCTAAAGTTCTTGGGTTTGATTCCCTTTAAATAGTACAGTTGTGTGCAGATTTGTATGTGTTGTGTTTGGTGATCTTGCTCCAATTTCACTCATCAACCTAAATAATGTATCAAATGCAGCAGTAGAGTTTAGACATCACTCAGTTGTCACTTTGTCACTGTATTTGTCCCAAGGGGCAGTTGAACCACTGAACAGTAAAATACAAGAACAGAAAAGCTCAAACTAAAGTCTGAGAGCAGCTCAACAGGTCGAGTCATCAAATCCAGTGTCAGGGCAGTTTGAGGAGAGAAGCCCTCAGAACAAAAGTGTCCCTCCTCTGTGTCCTGAAGCGTCACAGCAGTACCCAAGGACAACCAGGTACAATATGCGTATATATATATATATATATATATATATATATATATATATATATATATATATATATATATATATATTGCGTTGTTTCACTTAAAAGGACAGTGCCTTTAAACGATGATCAAATCTCATCTTTTAAATTGAAATGTGTTTAAGATGTTAAACTATTATAAATGCCTTTGACTGCATCTGTTGATTTAAAACAACTACTAACAATTACAGTTATCACTCCACTTAATAAAGAAGAACAAAATCTATATTCATTTAAAAAAGCAATTACCTTAATGTCTGAATTATTAAATGAAGTCTTTAAAATGAAATTGATTTTAGATATGGCCCAAAATAAAAGTCATTAAGTGATTATTAATTTGAGATTTTTTTAACCTCATTAATCGAGCAACTTTACAACAAATAGACAATTCGAGAAAGACATTTGAGAAAAAAACAAACATGATAACAGAAGAAACACATCATTTCTCCTCTTTTTCCTGATCAAAACATAAGAGTTCAGTCAAATATTGCATAAAGCTCAGACGTGTGTGATATCTGTGTGTGTCATGTGTCATATCTGTGTGTGTCGTGTGTGATATCTGTGTGCGTCGTGTGTCATATGTGTGTGTCGTGTGTGATATCTGTGTGTGTTGTGTGTCGTGTGTGTCGTGTGTGATATCTGTGTGTGTCGTGTGTGTTGTGTGTGATATCTGTGTGTGTCATGTGTGATATCTGTGTGTGTCATGTGTGATATCTGTGTGTGTCATGTGTGATATCTGTGTGTGTCATGTGTGATATCTGTGTGTGTGTGTGTGATATCTGTGTGTGTCGTGTATCATATGTGTGT